GTGTGCTCTTCCGATCTCCCCAAAACCCCAAAACCCCAAAACCCCAAAACCCCTTTTGTAAATGTTGAGTATTAATGTTTATTGATTAATAAATTATTAATGATCGACAATTTCAATAGACTTAGAAAGCAATCTCTAACCCAACTCTCTACCCCTTAAAGCTCAGTCTAAGACATTAAAAGTCATAGCTCCCATAACTTCTAGATTTTAAACTTTAATAAGAGTCCACTTTATCAGAAGCTGCCTGATGATTTCAGGGTAAAATACCTCTAGCCTCGGGAGTACAAGGAACAAGAGAATAAGTAAAAAATAAAAAAACTGAAGAAAGACCTTGAAATCAGAAAACTTAATGCAAGTTAAAATTCCTTTATGTCCCCAGGCCAAATGGGGTATCCATTTCAGACTGCTTCGTTTACAGCTAGTGCCAATGAATAATCCAACTCCAAGGATTAAAGAATGAATTTCGGATTACCTGAAATTGATGGTAGTTACAGTACTCATGGAGGACTGAATGGATAATCCCTTGCTGAAAAGGTAGAGTAGCAAAGAAAAATGTCTGCTTCAATGTGTGGGAAGTGGAACAAAGTGGAGATCTAAACTAATACTCAAAGCATGATGGGTAGAAGTACATAGTAAAGTTGGAATTCCCTTTATAACGTTCCAAAAAATCACATTTTAAAGAAGATGCGATGGAATTTTTTGAAGGAATCCAATTACGATAAAAAACTTTTAAAAAGCAACATTTATCATAATAGAAATAGGAGCATGCAGGAATTCAGTGATCCTCTAGATGATGAGTTAATGGAGGCTTATGAATTCATTGAGGACCCTTCTGCATTCGATTTCTAGACTAATGACTACAGAGATAAAGATATTGATTTCCAAAATATGATTGAGGAAGCTCTGCGTATTGATGATGGGCGTAATCACCTGGCTGAAAGTCCCACCTTTATACTGAAGAAAAGACGAAGTTAAGTGCAAGAAAAAGGTGGTGGGGAGGAAGTTAACATACAATCAATGAATCGTAGCAAGATCGTGGAGTCTAATATTCCTTTGGAGGCATTGTATAATCCTTAGATTGAGTCTATAAAACAGTTCGAGCACTATAACTAGTTAAATCCATAACCTGTCTGCATGTAGATATACCATGGCTATGACGGCAATAAGGAGCACAGTCTTATTAGATTTATGAACGACGAACTAGGTATCATCCTTGATCACATATACAACAGCACAAAGACTAAGCTACACTACAAGTCCTTCAAGGAATAGCATGGAATTAAGAAGAGAAAAAAGAGATAGAGCTCAGATAAGTTCAATAGCTCAGTGTTCTTAATGTAAGTCGGACTGCTTAATGAATAAAATAATCAGATAGACTCCAATATGCTACTCAGAGAAAATTTCTAGCTAAGTAAGCAAGCAACTAAGAGCTTTGAGAGAAAGATTACTTTAATGAAAAAATCTAATATAATGAATATACCTGCTAGATAACTACCAACTAAAGTAAAATCAAATAAATTGACATAGTAATCGAAGAAACGAAAAAACAGTGATCTACTTGAAGAAGAAGATGATTCTTCAGATATATCTATTAATCTAAGTGAAATGATGTCTGATGATGACTATGAGGAACCCAGGTTGGTTAAAGTTGTAAAAGAATTCACTGATAAAACCACTGAGAAATTTAAGCATGAAAATTTCGAATCTAAACAAGAACGAGATGAGAAGATAAAACAAGAGTTATGTGATAAATATGAACTTAAAGTAATCAAGCCTAACATGCATTATCTTATCAATAAAGATAAAAAATACCAGAATGTCAAACCTTCACAGGTAAACTCTCTAAGAGAACCACATAAAGATCACTAAAAGCAGCTATATATAAGGGAAGCACACCAGTTGAACAGAATTATGGCTAAAAAGGATTATGCTAAGTATTACATAAACCCTGAGTTGCTCGGTAAGAATTATAATGATATTCGAGAAAGATAGAACTATGAGTTACAAAAGATGGATCTTTCTTAAAATTAGCAAGAAATTTTCTTCTAGAATTTGAGAGCCTATCGAAAAAAGTAGCAAAATATTGAGTTTAAGAGAATGAATAACATCAACGAGAGAGTCAAGTCCTAATTATTTAGGAAAAAGAGCATTCTTGTTGCTGAAATAGCACTGGATTCTGACTAAAAGAAGGAGGAAAACAAAAGCTATTCCCAGGTTGTTAGCTAAATAAAAAACTATGAGAAAAAAATTAACGGGTATCTCAATGTTTCTAATGTATACCCGGAAAAATAAAAGGAGACAGAGATGCCTAAAATTAACCTATAGAAATAATAGCTTCAAAATAAGAGTAAAAGTACAAAAACATCTCCTAGATAGTATAAATTCATGATTAATGAAATAAGTGCTTTTGATAAGAGTTTATTGGGAAATTTGGTTAAAAGGGTTGAGATGAATACTAAGCTTACTGAAGATCAAATTGAAAACATTAAATAGAAGACTCAGTTATTTGAAACTAATCTTAAAAACATTATCAAAGAGGTTTGAAAGTCTATTCAAACTAGACTGGCAAACATACAAATTTGACTTAATAACTATTTTAATTTTTTTTCAATATAAAGAAATATACTTATAAAGTTTTTAGTAAAATATTAATGAATTGTAGTATAGATATTTTCCTTATATATTTTTAGCCATGGGGTTTTGGGGTTTTGGGGTTTTGGGG